CGTGCTCACCTGCGGGCTGTCCTCCAGCGTCTCCTCGATGGGCAGCTTGTCGATCCCCGGCATCGTGGCGAAGGGAGGGCGACGGCAGGAGACGCGCGGCCGCCCACAGCTCCCCACGCCCCTCCGCCCTGCAGCAGCTGACCCCGACCCTCCCTCCGCTGATAAGCGCCGCCGCTGTCGCTGCCCCGCGCCACCCTCGCCAGGCCCCCAGCGGCCGCGCGGGAAATCCCGCCCCTAGACCCCGCTGCTCCGCCTCCCAGTGCACCCATTGGCTGGTGGCGACGTCCGTCGGCGCTGGTGGGGCTGGCCGCGAGCTTCCTCGGCGGCGCGGGGCCTTGGGGCTGGTGCGGGCCGCGAAGGCGGGGCGGCGCGGCTGGCGCTCCGGGAGCGTCCGCCTGCGCGCGTGCTGGGATGCAATTCGTAGACGAGGTGGGAACGCCGGCTAGCAGAGCTCGTGTGAGGACCTCACTGGGGTGTTTGGGGCGGTGTCACTTTCCCCGCAACTTTGGTCGTTAGAGACCTTTTAAAAAGCTCGACTGCTGGGGCCTTTCTTTCGTTACCTCACATTACAGCCACCTCCACCGTGTCCGAAGCTTCCAGCCTTCCTCCTACAGCAAAATGGTGCTGGCTGACTCATCTCTGTGAGATCCCAAGTTGTGGCACTGACAAGGCTTTCTGGTAAATTCGTGGAGAGTAGACTCCAGATACTTTTCTAGGCACTTAAATATCAATATATTCAGTTAAAAACAGTGACTTTGTTGCCCATTTGCCAGTTCCTACCTGGCCTTGAACCGACACAGCGCAACTTCGACTTTCATATGTCTTTTAAATCACAAATACAAAGTCTTTTAAGAATCAGAGTACACTAGCTCATTATTTGGTAACTGATTAGTATTTCTGTCAGATTAAAAAATGTCGGAAGAGGCTTTAAATAGCTTCTTCAGCCTCTAATTTTACAAGTAGAGAAAAAAGTGCAGCTCAAGGAAGTTGCGGATTTGACCAGATGAAGGCTATAACCCGGGCCTGCCTCCTGCCTGTTTGTCCCTCTACCGCCACCTCACACTTCCTCATTTATTTCTGTACAGAGTTATAAGAAGCTTTCATCAGTATGCAGAGAAAATGGTGAAATCACCAGAGTCTTCTAAAAATCTAGCCATTAATTCCCTCAATCCATTCCAGTTTCAGTTAAGAAATATGAGATGCCGCGTACAGATTGCTAGCAGCTTGTTCCCACCGATACATTGGAACAAATCCAAATACAGTGACAGGAACGAAAATCACATATTAAACTAAAATACTCAGTTTTCTCATGACCTCTTGAAGAAAACATAAAATGAGGTTAAGAAAGTTTTACCAGGTATACTTGCAATAGTCTCACAGAATTAGCCTTAGTTTCTAGCTACTTAGATTGTTTATCTATAGACAACTAGTCATCCTATAGAAGAGATATTTAGTTTTTGAGAAAGATGGTTTGGAGTTGGTTCTTAGATTTTAAGCAATGGGGTTCCCAGCTGCTTAGATGTAGCCAGCATCATGCAGACCCCAACAACCCAGCTCTGCCCTCCATGAGCATTTTCAACGCTATCAGCACAAGCACTGTGAAATTGACTCTGAAAAAGAAGACTCTCGAGGTAAGGGACTGTCTGGGTTGAACTGTGATTTAGATTATAAGTGAAGGAGAAGAAAGGTAGTGAAAATCGATAAGTGAAAATGTCTGAGAAAGAAGAGTAATCATATGGTGTAACTGAAGGGGAGTTGTCCAGGTAACTTAGCCAAGCCAAATAATTCCAGTGAAAAATTCAGTTAGGTATCTGAGTTATCTGGGTGGAGTATTGTCATCAAGTTAAATGGTTTCCTTTTTTGTATATTATGTCCATCTAAACTGTTTTTGTTAAGGGTTCTCAAGAGGCTATTTCATTGCCAGAGAGGGGCAAGGAATTCTTGCCAGGCTCAGCTGGCTGAAAAACAAAACAAACAAAAACAGACATTCAACTTAGTGGAGATGAGGTTTATTCAAATTATAAAACTAGAAAGAATCTTAAAAGGTGTTCTAGTTGGATCCTCCAGCTTTAGGCCACTCAACACCCTGCTCACCCAAAAAACATGGTTGTGTTTCCTGTTTTAAAACATCTCCAAGGATGCAGAAGCCACAGTCTCCTTTGGTAACTAGTCTAAGTTAAATCAGCCTAAGTTTTGTACAGTTAACCAAACTCAATTCATTTTAAGCTCATCTCCTTGTACACAGGAAATGAGGTTTGTTCAGAGGTTGCCTGGGGGGTTACTGGAGACTCATGTGTGGGTAGCGTAGTAAAAACTTTGGCCAGCTGGTTAATTGTATGGAAGGCAAGGCAGGATTAAACGCCATCCAGCAAAGAATTCATTGAAACATTTCACACCTATAATTTACAACAAAAGGACTTATAATCTTGTAAATAGACTTGCGAATTACTAGTCTCCTAAAATTATATTTTTCCCTGTTATAGTTAGATTTTTACATGATACTCTTTGAAGTTCTGGTCTGTGGTCTGCAATAGGAAAGAATCCAACAACCCAAATAACACTGGTGCTTTCTTTTTAAAAAGTATCCCCCTAGGTCAGTGGTTTCCAAACTTAAATACACATATAAAAATCATCTAGGAAGGTTGTTAGAATGTAGGTTCCCAAACCCTGCTGCAAGATTCTAATTCGTTTGGTCAGAGTTATGACTGGGAACCTGGGTTTTAAACCCCAGCTCCCCGCATGAGTCTGAAGTAGGTAATCCTCAAACCACATGTTGAAAAATTCTACCCAAGACACCCTTCCCACATAACCTTGTATTTTAGAAAATTTAAAGAGTCAAGTAAACATTTAGAAATAGAATCCTAAGTTCCAATTAGAGATGGTGATAAGAGGCACCATTTCCAGAACCATCTGGAGAGCCTGGGAAGCCTTGTACTCACAGATATCCCCCAAAAGACTCCATCAATCTGAAATTCTGGAGATTGATGCTCCGTTTAAGAGTATACTGAATAATGCAAATAATTCTGGACGTTACCTAAGTAAATCACTTCTTAGTGGGACACACTTTAACAGATAATTGTTTTCTTCTTGATATCCAGCTGAGATGAACCAAATTCAAGAAATGAGTATATTGTTAATTTGAGTCACTTCCATCTGCTTTAAAACATTAGAATCAGTGGTAAAGTAGATAAAAGCTCTGGGCAGTTGAAGGCAGGGCTTCAAACCAGTTCGAAATGGTTCAGTCATGGCTGATGAAGCAAAACCGGAATAGAGCTGAATTTTTAAAATTTGGATGATCCGGAACTATAACTGGAATGGGGAAAATTACAAGTTGAAGCCCTGGAGTGGGAGATTCTGAAGAGGCATAGTGAGCCCTTTCAGGAGCCTGATGCGGGAGATTGGATTATTGCCAGGACTGTGGAGCGTGACACACATTCAAAGCAATGCAGTCGGTGGCCATCTTTGAGCGGGGCACTGTTTCCGACTCTGTGCAAAATCGCGTGGGCAAGAGATTTGGTTGCCGTGCAATGCATATGCTGCCCTTATTTTCTAAGAGGAGGATTAAGTTTCTAGCAGGGCTTTGACCAATAATTTTTCCTGTTCCAGTTATAGTTCTGGTTCACTCAAATTTTAAAAGTTCACTAGTGTCGCTTTCTTGGCCCTGATTCAACCAGGAAGAACCAGCTCAAAGCCTTGGTTGAAGGGTAGAACAAAGGTTCTGAGGAGTGGGTTGCAAAAAGAGATGGGAGGGTTGCAAGAAGCAACTGATTTTTCATTGTATCACTCTCTGCTTTTAACCTTGACGCTAATACTGCTGTTGCTCATTGCCACGGCGTTGTTAGAATGTAGGGCAAATGCTGTACTTCTACTTTGTTGACTATAAAAAGAGAAAAACCTTATTTCTAGGATAATCGTGTATGGTTTTGTTTCTTTTGTGGTCATCTTGATTCCTTTTTGGAACAAGAGGACATTAGTAAATTAATTTCTTTGATCGGGCGAAGTACTTGGAAACAAAGCAGCATGGTTTCCATTTCTGTGATGAAAATGGAGAGGTGAATGAGGGCATGGGCTTTGAAACCAGCCTGCCTGGCTTTGAATTCTGGCTGCACTAACTTTGTGACTTTAGGCAAGTTACTTCTCTGTGTCTCCATTCTGGCATCTGAAAAGTGGGGCTTAATATAGAGAACTTACATTATAGGGTTGTTTGGATGATTAATGAGCTTTTAGAATAGTGCCTGGCACAAGGCGTTCAATAAAAATTAACTATTCTTTTCATGATCTGTTGTAAAGTATTAATATAGCAAATAAGTTGCTTTTAAGGCAGCTCTCGTCTTTGTCTTTCCATTATCATATCTAAAGAGACCAATATTTCCTAAATCAGAACACTATGCTCATTATCTTAGAGGCTCCTGATACTCTTTTAAATAAATGATAGTACTTTTACCCTTGCTAGTGTTTTACCACTGTTGACTTAGGTACATTTGTGACCAAAACAAAAATTTAAAAATCAGTAAAATGTATTTTGATATTCTGGAGAAAAGGTGTAGGTACCAAGACAGCAAAGGCTATTACTCTGGAGTTTTTTGGGGGAAGGGAGGGTACCCCAAGATGAGAAGACACAACCTTCATGACACTCCTACCGCCAGTGTAATTCAGGGGAGCGAGAGGCAAGTCAGCAGAGAAGGGGTTGCTCTTAGAGAAGTCAATATGTGCCATGACTGTATAATCATTGAAAACATTTTAATTTTTACAGAACCACAAAGGGCAGTATAGAAACAGTAACTGAAAATTGATTATACCAGTACTAGTTATCCCATGGAAACCCTGGTGGCATAGTGGTTAAAGTGCTATGGCTGCTAACCAAAAGGTTGGCAGTTCGAATCCACCAGACGCTCCTTGGAAACTCTATGGGGCAGTTCTGCTCTGTCCTATAGGGTCGTTATGAGTCAGAATGGACTCGATGGCAACAGGTTTGGTCTTTTTTTTTTTTCAGTTATCCCATGTGGCGGGACGGTTAAAAGCTTGGCTGCTGACCAAAAGATCAGCAGTTCAAAGCCTTGGAGACCCTAAGGGGGCAGTTCTGTTCTGTCCTGTAGGGTCTCTATGAGTTGGAATGGACTCGATGGCAACAGGTTTTGGATTTATCCCATGGACCCCTGGTGATGTGATGGTTAAGCGCT